CTGTTTTTAAATGGTTTCATATACAATGCTTACAGTCTGCTCCCATGGAGCACACTGTGCTTCTACTTCCTCGATCAAAACACTTAGCTATATTGAATTTTTTAGTCTAAAATTTTGTGAAAGACTATTTTTGAAAGAAAAAAAATTGAATTTTGAGTTTTGTGACACTTAGATCGACCTATTTAAAAATTGGACAATCTATGTTCAATCTCGAGGCATTATTCTTTTTCTTGTATAAAGAGATTTTATTTATGATTTGTTTTTGTAGAGATTATTCTGTATAGTTTTATATGCCCAAACTTTAAGTATAGAAGGTATCTGTAGTATGTATTTTGGCTCTCCCACGTGAGTAAATAGTTGGCAGTGAAAAAAAGGGCTGCTGAAGGGGGTCATGATAATTTACGCAAAAAAATATATTCATTTGATAATAACCAGGGGGAAACAGTGTCCGTATGTAATTTGTCTAAAAAATCTATGTAGTCCGTTTTGTAGATCCATTTTGAATCTCCAAATGATATGGAGGATGCGACTTAGATGATTTGAAGCCTTTTAAGATATACGACGCATCTCAAAATTGGTTTTTGTGTCTAAGGAGCATCATCGTTTAATGTTCGGATGCCCTTCTTGTTGAGTATATAGTTGCAAGACAATGGTCCATTTCTACTATTTGCCACTAGAGACCATGATTTAAAAAATGAATTAGTGATCCGAATCGGGTATCTAAAAAATCAATACGGATCGGTGAATCAGTAGTCCGGATCGCTGTTTTACTATACATAACCACTAGTTCCTTCTAGACTTACCCGTTTTTCTATATATACACAGAACCGATTCTTGAGTCGGACCGAGTGAATCGGTGCCTACCCATTATTTTTAAAATCATTGGTAGAAAGTATCCAACTATGGTATGCTAAATGTAATATGATATGTAAAGAGGGAATGAACTTTTGACTTGAAAGCGGAGAAGCATGGTACATATTGTGTTTACATATACACCATGCGCATGAAGTGCATCTACCGTCCATTCCTAAGATGGACGTGGCCGTGAGTAGGGTGTGTTACGACAAACCTAATGGTCACCATAGTTCATCTCCACCATCTATCTTCCACACATAAGTTGGATACTCTTACTTATGTGCTTGTCATATGTAATGTTGACTGTTATATAAGGGTGCCACTTATACTAAGCCCACCTTCAACAATCAAATTAAGGCGCACCTCTAAACCTTGCCTGAAGATTCAATTCCCATGTCGGAAACTTTTATTATGGCTGAAAATATGTTTGCACACCTGACTGTGAAATTTAGAGCTCGAAAAATAATGTGGATTGAGCAATTTATGAACTATTAAAAATATTGAAAATAGATGGTCCCTATAATGTGTTACAAGATGTATTTTTCTAAAACTTGAAATCTTTATTTTTCCTATCTAAATACATCTCGAAGTCGAGATGATTAATCGGAGATTTCTTCATAGTTAGAAGGACCTTTCCAACTACCTCTTTTTTTTTTTTTGGGTGTGCCTCACTTCTATAGTGTCAGATTGATCTCTTACATAAACTTTTTCTATTATGTAATTCGTGTATCAAAAAGTGAACGGTAGGAAAGCAATAAAACAATATTTTTGAACTGAGAAGATGTATAAGAAAATGGGAAAGTTATCGAGCCATCTTTTACTGCTGCACACTTTTAAAGTCATTCATCTTTTGGTCCTATCAAATCGGGCTTTAAGAACTTGCAATAATAGGAGAACAATGGGCAAAATGGTGTGGTTAGAGTAGTTTTAAGTCTTACGAAAACCTCTTTGAATATCAATATCATGGTATTTTTTACACTAATATCTCATGAGGTAATGTATCACATTTAGAATATTAATAGCCCGTCACTTCATGAGACATTGGAATTTGTTAATACTAATATCTAAAGGGTGCGTGAATAGCAATATCATGGTATTTTTTACACTAATATCTCATGAGGTAATGTATCACATTTAGAATATTAATAGCCCGTCACTTCATGAGACATTGGAATTTGTTAATACTAATATCTAAAGGGTGCGGTTTCTATAAGGTTGCAACCTTAAACAGTCAAATTAAGACGCGTCTTAAAATTTTATCATAACATATAATTTTGTTGTAAAAAATTCTTAGCATTATCTTAAAATCTATTTTCATACCTGATTAGTAAATTTTAAATTTCAAAAATAGTTAAAATTAAGTAGATCTATAAATATATGAAAATCTTGCAAATCTACGGTCTAGATAATGTGTTGCAAAATGCACTATTTTCGGGACTAAAAAACTTTTATTTTTCATATTCATACATCTATCGAGATGATCGATTAGAGTGATTTTTCAACATGAAAACAACATTTCCGATAAAATTTTGAGGTGCATATGTGATTCTACATTTTAAAGTTGCAACCCTATATAAACTTTTCCCATATCTAAATGGTGTTTCCAAGAACCAACATTTGAATGTGAACACCTTATGAGACAACGGTATTTTAGAAAGCCAAAGTCTCACTAAAAAAGTCGGGCTTGTATACAATGAAACCATTTATCTTTATTACAAAGATGTCAAAATCACTCTTACTCATTAGATGTTAAATTGGATAGCTTGAGCTAGACACAAAGTCTGAAATTTTATTTTTTCAAACTTTGAGTTTTTTCAATGATATTCTTACAATCATCCAATTTGAAATTCAAGGGACAAGAGTGATTGTGACTTCCTTGTGTAAAACTTAAATGGCCTCTTTATATAGTTTTCCAAAAAAGTGATAATGTTTTAAATGGTCTCTTTAGTTGCTAGTGACATATTAGCATTCACAAGTACCAATATCATTTAAAGTGGGATTTTAATGTTAGCAAATATGAATATCTATCAAATTTAGTTCTTCTTAGTGATGAAATTTTTGCTAAGCTGACTCGGAATCACCTGTTCGACTCGAAATTGAAGAGTCTATGCTTCTTTATGGTCTTGGCAACTGCCCTAATTTGTCTAGAACTTGTAGTTCCCTGTAAGGACAAGCGATTCCATATCCTCAAACAAATTTTTTCATTATCTGCTTTTGTAAGCTAGATTTCTCAACTTCACATTTTTCTTTCCGGAATTCCGGAGGTGATTCGGGAATCAAATATCCGACTCGGATTGGTACGTCCCTAATGCAGTGCCAATACCAACTTTTTTAACACCAGCTTTCTAATTAGCATATTTGATGCTCATGAGGGGGCCATATAGAACATTTATTTAGCCCCTTATAACAAGGAGGAATAGAGTAACAAATAATGTCGAGTAGTGAATCTTATCGGTCGGTTCCACAAATTTCCTGCGACAAAAGTAGGAACACATTGTACACATGATCTACGATAATAAAATATGGCATGAATCAACAATAAGAGGTATGTATAAAAGTCTTTGCCCAAAGCAAGAATCCTGTAATCCCGACTGTGATTTTCAAGAATGAGAATCTCATGATATGTTGGGAATGACTTCAATTATAACGATTTAGTAGCTACATCTCAAGTTAAATTCCCATGGCTCAACTACCCAAAACGAAAAACCCAAAAGATATTCTACTCCCCTAGGAGTAGATTGTCTATGTACTCCTTTGGATTAAACCTTATCTAGAGTTAAAATTTAAGACCACAAATTTTAGGGATGTGACATCTTCTAACGCAGATTACCTCAATAAAAGAAATCGCCTTTAGGCGTGGTTTGTATAAGATGTTAAGTTTAAACAATCCAAGCAAGGCGCACATCCAAACCTTGCCAAAAGATGTAATTTTGATGCCAAAAATTATAACAATGACTATTTATCATCTACTTATGAAATTCAAAACTCAACTTTGTGCGGATCGAGCAGATTTGCAAGCACTTGAAAATCTTGAAAATGGACAATCAAAATAATGTGCTACAAGATGCACCATTTTTTAAGAATCGAATTTCTTTTTATAGCCATTCATCATGAGATCAGGATGATCAATTGAAGTGTTCTATATTAGAAGGATAATGTTTTACGTTAGATATTTTAGGTGTGCTTTACTTCTACAATATAACTTATATAAACCATTGAATATGTATATTATGCTCCCTTAGGAGCATACTTTATTTCTACTCCCTAAGTCAGAAGACCTACTTGGGAGGATCTTTTCAATATGAAAGTTTAGGATCCACCTAAGATTCAATAGATGCTTACTCTCAAAATAAAAAATTCAAATTTGAGTTTTCTAATACTTACCTCACCATCTAAAAATTGTATGGTCTCTATCCAATTTCGAGACATTATTTATCTCGAGTGCATAAAGGATGCAATTAGGAAATTTCTTTTATTGAGGTTAATCTATCCGTCAAAGAGGTTATATCTCTAAAATTTGGGGTCCTAAAATTAAGTCTATGTGGGGTTTTACTAGAGGGAGTAAATGGACAATACGCTCCCGCATAATATAATATATTTTGGCTAAGCTTTTTTTTATTTTCCAATTGTACCCTCTATATATGCATATTCAATTGAGATACAGAGGCCATACAATTTTAGAAGGTAAGATCTAAGTGTTAGAAAACTCAGATTTTAAATGTTTAGTTTAGAATAATTATATAGTAATCCTTAAGCAATTCCTCGTATTTTGACCAAAGAAATGCAGATAAACTGTAGTACCGAGGGAGCATATTATACTTCAACTTCATTATCATAATCATCCACGCGTTATCCCATCTATTTGGTTTGGCTGTGAATATATACTTGCTAAGAAAAATAGTTTTATGCCAAACGATTTTCTTCTCCGGAGTGTACTACCGTGCAATTTTTGGAGGGAATGATCCAAGATATTTAATAATTCCAAATTCAATTTTTTTTTTAAAATAATCATCTATAATTAGATGGATTTTCAAAAATTTTAAATAAGAAAAAAAAAAAAAAACCTCCCAAATAAGTGTTTTGCTCGAGGAAGTAAGTATACAGATCATCTCTCGAAGGAGCATAGTATACAGCTCTAGTTTCATACACCGCTCAAAGAAGAGCGAGGTGCATTTTTTATGGCAGCAAACCATGGTCCCTCGCTCTCTTTGTAGCGGCAAGAACGGGAAGGGTTTAGACAGGGTTTTGGCATCGCTTCCTGCTTTCTCCTATTAAAAAGTTGCCCTTTCCTCCCTACTTTTGCTTGTTTCCCAAGAATCCCAGAAATCTCTCTCTCCAACCTCTCCCTCTCTCATAATCACTCAATTTTCCGGGCATTGCATCCAATCTCTCTCTCTCTCTCTCTCTCTACAAATCCATCTCCCATATCTCACTAGGTTTTTTTCGACTGTACTTTCTTTCGTTCCATTCAGTCGCCACCATCTCTCTCATTCTGCACTTTCTCTCTCTAAGGCTTCTCTTCGCATTTGTTTTCCTGTACTCACTTTCTCTCTCTAAAATCCCCTCTTCCTATCCATTTTATCCGTCTATCTCACATTCTTCCACCATACTATCTTTTCGAGTCCCCTCCTCCCTCTCTCTTTCTCTCTCTAAAAGTCCCTCTTCTCTCCCACCACCACCATCTATGTTGAAGGTGTTGTCAGCCTCATGTCTCCATGGCCGATTACAGTGCGTTTCCTCAAGGCTCCCTATTCACTCCAGTCATGGAGGGGAGGGGAGGTCTCCTCTGCTGCGTCTGTTGCGTTCCATGAAATCTCCTATTTCAGGAAGCCCATATTATAGGCGAAGAGTTTTCTTTTGCTCTGAATCAGGTGGGAATGATGGTTCTTGTGAAACGGTTGAGGCGAAAGCTGAGAATGCAGAAACTGTTGAGGAGGTTGATCCCAAATCGTCTTCTGCTATAGTTCCTACTAACCCTAGACCAGAGGATTACCTCTCAGTGAGTAATCCTAGCTCCATTTTTATGTCATTTTAAGTTTACTTGGTTTCCTTTGTCTTCCTTTTATGGAATTTGTAATGTTGGAATGTAAGCATTTTTCTGAATATAGAATTCATTTTTTTTTTATTTGGTGTGTGAAAACTTGTACACAGCTCGATTGGAATTCGGGGTCATGGTTACTATACAGTTGGATGAGGGAAGTTAATGATGGGTTGGTTGAAAGTTTAATTAGGTTTGGTAAAATTGGGGCTTTCGATTGCTTTTAGCAGTGGTGGTGTTTATATGCCCTGTTTAGTGTGTGGACTTATGACATTTTGCCATTAAGGTTCCAAAAGACGCTAGGTGGCCCCTAGGTGCCCAGCCCAGCCTAGGGCATCTATGGAGGTTCCTATAACCTGAGGTGACAAATTTTAAAAAATACGCAGATATGTGAGATGTCCAACAACACACATATATGCAGATATTTGTGTTATTTTTATATTTATTTGCGTTGATTTAAATATATATTCTAACCAACTTTTAAATGCAAATGTACATGCGTGGACGTTGAAACTACTTCAAAGCTTCAATTCATTGAAATTTAGTGAAAAACATAAACTAGTCCATAGTGTATTAGTCTCCAAAGCTCCATACTCCATAGAATTATCGTCCATACTTTATAGCTCATACAGATACAATCATCATGCACATAAGACTCCAAGTTTCCAAGAAGGCCAATACAAAATGATGCAATAAAAAAGATAAGATGCAATATAAAAGATAAGATTCAATTCTTCAAATCAACAATTTAGTCATCATCTTCATTCATCATCATAATCTTCATCATCCCTAGTAGCTCTTTTTGAGTTAACGCCATCATCATCGGAATCATCAACCTCTTCAACATATTGGGCATCTTCCTTAATTTCTTCTGAATCAGCCTCCTCTTCATCTATCGCTCTCCTCCTTTGTGAAGTACCAGCAACAATTGTTGCCCGAGTTGCCCTCCTAGGGTTAGAAGCTGGACCTGATGCCTCCTCAATGGTATCCCAAGTTAAACTATTTCAGGGGAAGACATCTTCAGTTCCAGGATCTCCAACCAACCACTTAGTAGTATTCTCCATGTCCTTGGAAGTGATGTGGTCCCTCACATCATACTGATTCGACTTCACCATAAGCCTCTGATTATATCTAGCAATCTAAATCATTGAGGTTTCTTTGCTCAAGCCTATACCTTCTTTTTGTATGTACCTATAAGAAAAACATGCATGAGGACTATGTGAGCCATCTAGATTTTTAAATTTAAATTTAGAGAGCAAGAAAAGAACTAAACATAGCATCTCAAATGAACTTCCATTTCGCTCACAACTAGTTCTTCTAGTAGTTAAACTTAGACTTAAACATTCATCTCCTAGTGGTTTGGCGTACTAGTCCTATGGTAGCTTCAGCATTGAGCTGTGAATTGGGTGCAATCTCTATGATTAATTTAAAACTACGAGAAAGTATTTTAGACAATTGCAAACATGCATTAGAAATTTGAAATAAAAATTCAAATAAGATATATTACCTAGATCCAATTGGGTCCTTTGTCTCAACACCATTTCCTTCTCAAACGACTTCAATCCACACTTGTACAAAAATGAGTTCCTCAACATACGTCTTATCTTGGATGCCTGGCTCAGGAACAAGTCTCTCAAGTCACTCATTAAATCTGGCCATAATTGTATCCCTACCCTCAAGTTCTCAATTTCTATGTCAACATAAAAAAACTTGGGTTTAAATAGTACCTAGCTACATGCAATGGTTTAACTGTCTATCCCACTTTTCATCTATAGTCTTCCAAATTGGGCCATGCTTGCCCTCATCATTGCCCAAACCCTTTGCTATCTCCTTCTCAGCTCCATCCAGAGCATCATACATAATGCCTATAGAGGGCTTGTCAGTGTCAGCTAAGCACATGACCTTGACTAAGGGTAGAAATACTGCTGCTGAGTACTTTACCTGATGCCAAAAAATCTTAGAGAATAATATCATGGGCCCCTCTTTCCTTTCGAATCCTTAGACCACTTTTCTTTCCTTTGGAATCTTTAGACCACTTGCATCTGCTCCAATTCTCTGAAGTGAACATAGATCTCAGTGGGATCTTGCTATTGTATATGCTCTTAAGATTCGAGTAAGTAGTAGCATCTCGGGCTTTATCAGATCATTCTTTTTGTGAACTTGTGCAATCATGCTAAGAGTATTGGTGTCACTGTATATGAAAATTGTGACCTCCTTAACCTTAGAAAATGCCCCTTTTACACTAGGAATCTCACCAATGGCCGCAAGCATGAGGTTTATGGGATGTGTCATGCAAAGTGTCCAAAATATACGAGGCCTCTTCTAGCGAAACAAATGAGCTACAACAAAATTAGGAGCAGCATTATCTATGACAACTTGCATTACATGCTCCTCTGCAAACTCCTCAATGCTCATGCCCTTATCAAAGAGTATGTCGTGTGCATCATGAACATATTCAGAAGCATCAATAGATCTCAAAAGTACTGAACGTAAAAGACAATTCACCAACGAGTTTATGATACTCCTCCTGTCACTCCATTAATTTGTCATGATGGACACCCCAAAATGAGCCTACCTATCTTTATGGGACTTGAGATACTCCTTGGTGTAGTCTACGTCTTTCTTCGATGGTGGATTTGAAAGTGCATATGGGGTTAAGCCTTTCAACCTTGGCCCAAATTGGTCGATTGCTTATAACATTGTATGGAAGCTACTTAAGTGAGGAGTATTAAACAAATGCCTGCCTGATAGAACCACTGAGCAATGTATTGAAATAACCCGCCTCAATCTTCCTTTCAAGAGTCAGTTTGTCTTTCCCTTTCTCAACAGTGGCCTCGAGGTTGGGTGTAGAAAGAGCACAAATAGGCCCTTTTGTACGACGTTCTTAGACCCAAAATACCTCTTAGAATTTTAGAGATGTTCACCTGGCCCACCAGCTCATCCCTCTCATTATCCTCCTCCTCCCCGTCATAAAAATGTGTCCTTCTCTGTTTTAACTCTTTTATTTATTTTTGTCTTGTATGTACTCAAGAATCTCCTTCTTCACAAGATCGGGAACTCTTTTATGTAGGGCAACGTCCCTTCTAATACCGGCAAGCTGTGTCTTGAGCCTATTTACCCTGACATTTGAAACATGACCATAAAGGATGCATATGATTTTATTCTTATCATTTTAATCCAGATTAATTGGTATTCAGCGATCACATAAATTCCAGTTGTGAAGTGGAGATGTGCAATCGGAATTTTATGTGGTCATCGCATACCAATGAAGCTGAAGGCCAAGTTCTGTAGGACAATTGTGAAACCAGCTTTGCTCCATGGGGCGGAATGTTGGGCGGTCAAAAAACAATATACCCATAGAATGAGAGTAGCGGAGATGAAGATGTTGAGATGGATGAGTGACAAGACAAGAAGGGGTAGAATTAGCAATGAGTACATTCGGGAAAATTTAGGTCTGGCACCAATACGTGATAAGATGAGAGAGCATAGACTAAGGCGAGCTAGCTATGTGTAGCGCAGAGCCAGTACAACACCTGTTACGAGGTGCAAGTTAGTTCAAGTGGAAGGTTCAAGAAGGTTAAGGGGTAGTCCCAAAGGGACATGGTTGGAAGTAGTGAGAAAAAATATGGGGAATATGGCCTAATTGAGGTTATGACCCTTAATAGAGTAGAATGACAGACCGGGATTCGTGTACTCGACCCCATTTAGTTGGGTAAAGGCTTTAATGATGATGATTTTAATCCGGGTTAATATAATATTTCAATCTTGGATCTCCGCTTCTAGTGGATCCTAACAAGATATTCCAAATCCAAGACAGAAATCTCAAATATCGATTCTAAAGAAACCTTTTTGGTTGATCTCTGTGCTTTGATGTTTGGGATATCGATCAAGCTTGAACTCACCTGAAAGTTCTTCTAATAACCTCAGTATCGCTTTAAAAATAATTCTAATAAGATAGAGAAGCTTTTGGATGATTCTTCAAATTTCGTAGTTTTTTTTTTTTTGAATTTTTTTGAAAAATGAGTATTTTTTGGGTTTTGGATTGATTTTTTCCACTTTGGGGATTTAGAATACCTACAAAATATCCTTTCCCCTTTTTTCATAGGCAAAAAGGACCCAAAATGCCTTCATGGCAAATTTTTTCCTCCAGAAAAGGCTTAGTTCATGGGCGCCTGGCCAGGAACTGGTGCCCAGAACTACTCGCCCAGGCCTAGGCAAAGCGGCCTGTTGCCCCTTGGGCACCTAGGCGGTGGGCTGGCCATTTTTTTAAACATTGTTTGCCATTCAAGGTGATTTTTGGTACTATGTTGTTTCCATTTTCTTTAGTTGTTGAATTTGCAATTTCTGCAAGTCCAAATTTTCATGTTTGATGGATTCCAGTATGTTTATTAAATGAAATGAAATTTAAATGCAGCATGGTTGCAATACCTGGTGCATGGTTGGTTTTTCTGTTGATCAGAGAAATCAGATAAAGTCTTAAGTTCAAGTAGCTTTGGAGAGATTTGTTTTTCCGGAGTTTTAGGTGCTGGGTGTTACAGAATTTGAGCATCTAGAATGGTGGTGGTATTTGTGAATGCTTGCTCACAATATGGCTTTTTGGAGTGATTAAATATGCGATAACTGAACAATTTGACATTTGACCTCAGAATTCTATCAGTGTCTTCTGACAATATATTATTTTGTTCTTATTTTCTTATTGTAGCATGCTCAATTAGTTGAAAATGTGCTTTCTTACTAGCTCCATTGGCTCTCCTGGAGTTTGTGGAAATTATTTTTTGTAACTTCACTTCAACCTCTGTGTGCTGCTTTAGTTACTCTTATGAATATATTTGCAGGTGAGAATTGAATGTTTATATCACATTACATGGATACATGGTGGCATTCATGATTCATCACATGTCCCCACTTACTGTAGTCCAAAATCAAATTCTTTGTCCTTATTGCATATCTTTGAAATCCACCATTTAACATGTAACTTGCATTCATCAATTAGCTGTTGTTGTTTCTCTATTTACATATTTTCATCATAGCTTGGTCCATAAATTATTCTTAATAGTTGCATTTTGCTACCTTGCTGAGGAGAAATTAGAATCATCAATGATGCCTTCAATGTTCACTAAAGTATCATTCTGTTCTCAATTGGTGCTTATTTGATTCTTTTTTTTTGATGATAGGTCATAGCTTTGCCTTTGCCACATAGGCCTCTATTTCCAGGTTTTTACATGCCAATCTATGTCAAGGTATGCACCATTTAGTTTTGATCGTATCCTAATTCATGGTTTATTTGTATTAGATTTGGCTGTAACCTTATAGGTTTGCCTGTATCTATTTCATAATTCATGGTTTCCTTTATCGAAAAGCAATACTCTGCTCTAAGACATAAGCTCACATAGCTACTTGTTCACCTGTATCAAACTTGATTTTTCTGCAGTCTTTTAGCCAAAAAATTTCTCTTTGCAATGAACTGCACCATAGAATGAGGTGGCTTGTGTATGATTTCAATCTGAGAAAATTATTTACCGTTTTATTCTCTCTATTGGTTAATGGTGTCATTAGGTCTTATAAAGCATGAATTGGATAAAACTTCCATTGGAAATATATTAAGACTAAGAGTATGTAATGAAGGAAATCAGTTCGGTTGTCAGTTGATAAAGAACTCTTTCCACTATGCTTAAAGAGGTGCTACTGGAGAGTCTCTGATTGACTGGCTAACGGAGTGACAAAATGTGTACTTCCATGGCCTGTATTTCCTCTTTTTTCTTTTTAGCCTTGTGTATTTTGCTTCCAATTTCTTTGTTTATATCTCCTAGGCATTTGTTCTCTTGGATATACCCTGATGCACCCAGTCCGTTTCAGATGAATAAAAAAGCTACAAAAAGCTTGAGTCCATAAGGACCTCAATGTCGTCTTGCAACACAATGTGATGCAATCAATGGCCAATCAATCAGTGTATTCTCAAATATAATTTAAGAACAATGCTGATGGACATTATTATGTTATACAATTGATATTCTCCTTCAAATTAATTGTAGGTCATCATCCGTGGAATTCATCCTGTGACTATTGTCATTGAGAATCTTGCTATGACACTTAGTTTTGACATTCAAAAAGACTAGTTTTCAATGCAACTTGTTCCTGGATATGATCACCCCCCTCCTCCTCCTCCTCCTCCTCCTCCTCCTCCTCCTTTCAGTGAAGATATCTGTTAACTAGAAGCTTGGTTATTGACTTAATGGATCCAGAAATTAGTTCATAGTGATCTGCATTGTATTAATACTTTTTCCATACATGGTTTCAAAGATTACAATAAATACCAAGCTCGTGAAGCAGTGATTATACTGTATAGGCTTACTTATGCTGTCCACAAGTTCACATAATTTTTGTATTCTACTTCAGCCCATGATCTCACCATGTATCCTACTTCTTAATTCATGAAAGCGAAAGGGACCTACAAAAATGTAATATCTTGTGGTCAACATCCATATGTGGACATCATTCCTGTCAGCTTTGCATATGCTATAATACCAAGGAAAAATGATGATGAGAATAAAAATAAAATGCCCCAGGTATAGCTTGTTGATAATGCATTGTCCTATGAACAACCACCTTGCGTGGTTGTCTAGAATGAAATCTTATGCTAGCTAACTATCATCATCGACAGCACATGCTAAACCTTCTTTCTCTTTTGGTAATTAGGAGTTAACTCTTTCACTTTCTCAAAAAGTCTGGAAGTTCTGAATCACCTTTATGATATCTCTTTTAGGATCCGAAATTGTTGGCAGCATTGATCGAAAACCGGAAAAGATCAATCCCGTATGCAGGTGCTTTCCTTGTCAAAGATGAGCCTGGAAGTGATGCAAGTCTGACATCTGGTTCAGAAACGGAGAAGAGCACCTATGATCTCAAGGGAAAAGAATTGTTTAATCGCCTTCATGAAGTTGGTACCTTGGCACAGGTAGGCTACGCGTTATAAGGAGGTTCTGCATACGCATTATGAAAGTTATGATTCGCAGTCTTAAGAATTTGAACCAAATTTGATAGCTCTTTGACTCTTATTTTTATTCTTTGATCTTGCACATCAAATGCACCAGATCACCAGTATACAAGGTGACCAGGTGGTTCTTATTGGTCATCGACGGCTACGTATTACTGAGATGGTATGGTGGTTACACTTTGATATATTCGGCTTTTCTTGACATTCAATCTTCATGAGTTTAACAATTTAAACAAGCAACACTTTTATAAGAAATATACTTCAATTTACACAATCCTACTTCTGTGCAGGTCAGCGAGGACCCACTCACTGTGAAAGTTGATCATCTCAAGGCATGTGATTTCTTGACAATCTTTCTTCTTTTCATTCTCAGTATGAATTTCTTCGCTAATTGAGTTGAGGGGCTATGTAGTGGTTTTGTGGAATTTGTGCTTCAGTTTGATGACGTGCAAAAATGAAACCAATTCTTTATGCAACCATAGTGGTTGGGCCTTTATTAATAACTGTGAGCTGTAATTCATATCTAAGATCATCATCATCATAGCCTTTTCCCAATGAATTGAGGTTGACTACACGAATCCTGGTCCGCCATTTTACTCTATGTTAAGTCATACCCTTAGTGAGGCCATAAGTCCCCATAGTTTACGGAGTACTTCCAACCATGTCCTTTGGGGCCTATCCCTTACCCTTTTCAATCCTTCCACTTGAACTAACTCACACCTCCTAACATGTGCTGTACTGGGTCGACACCACAAATAGAAAGCCCACCTAAGTCTACTCTCTCTCATCTTAAGTTCATATTTAAGATTTATGCACTCTATTTGTTGCAGGAGAAGCCATATGATAAAGATGATGATGTTATAAAGGCGACCTCATTCGAAGTTATAGCAACCTTGCGAGATGTTCTGAAAACTAGTTCTCTTTGGAGGGATCATGTTCAGACTTACACTCAAGTAATCACATCTTCTGAGCCACATGAATAAATATTCTTTTCATGTATCCTTTCTTGAAATAATAAACTTTTTACAGTTTGAAAATCAGATTTTCCCTGTTTGTTCTTACTATAACTATTGTTTAACCATCTTTGTTCATTTACAAATATTTTGCTGTTAAAATGTTTCTCAGAACTTTTCAATAATAAAGTAATTTATCAACTTTCTTCGGTTTATAACTTTTTCCAAGAGTTGCAATAGTATGGGCACTACGGAAAAAAAAAGAACTACTGATGTTTCAGAAGTGAAAGGACTTGGAAAGAGTGCAATAAAACATGAGCCTGATCATTATAATATGGGAAAAAGCTAGAAAAGAGTTGTGGGGCTGCTTGGTGTCAAATTTCCAAACTCAGCGTCAAGGACTTGATTGGACTTGAAAGTTAAGAGGGTTAACAGGGCTGACAAATGGTTTCCGACTCCTGGGGGATTCATGAGTTGAATTTTGATGCAAATGCCAAATGGAAGCTGGAACCTGCTGGGATGTGTTGTGTTGTGAGAGATTGGCTAGGTAAAGTCTTAATGACTTTCTCTGGTCCTTTGTAAAATAGTGACTTAAATGAAGCTGAGATGTGGTTGATGCTGTATGGGTTAAAAGTTTGAATCGTAAATTTAAATTGATAATTAGAGAAGGGACTTCGTCATATGCCATTGGGTTGGTGATTTGAAAAGGCAAAATGTCCATCGAAGCAAAGTCATCTGATAGAAGAAATGTGGAAGGAAATGAAGGAGTGGGAGTCTCAATTCAATCACATCTGCTGTAAGTGCAACGAGGTAGCAAAAGCACTTGCATTAGAAGGAATTAGACAATCTGAGTTGGCGTTGATGAGCAGGAAATTCAAAGTTGTGTCTGAGGCGTAGAAATTCCAATATAGAGTCTCTTCCGAAGAGGCTCATTTTTGTACCTAAAATTGACATATACTTTAAATCAATATTGATGGGAAAATCGGTTACCGATCAAGAAATGAAAGAGACATTGTAATAGTCACATTTCTGAAACATTTCCGGAAGGTTCTGCCATCACCAAACATGGAAATTTGCGATTTGAATTGTGAATGTTTTAATTCAAATGGGAAATACTGCAATTGAGGGTCATAGGACCTGAGAGTGAACAATGGTGCTTACTAGTGATGGCACTTCCTAAGGCTTATTTCACGGTTTATGGGGCTCCTTATATTGAGGCATTTGTGACCATCTGGATATATTTTAAATTTCTTGTAAACATGTCGTTAATCGTGCTGTAAGTTTTGAAGGATTAACATTTGTAGGAACTCTGAGAAGTCTTTAATGCTATTTGGTGAGTAGTTGTGTGTTACAATGACCCCTCATGCATTTTATGAAACTGATCTTATGTTTGTTGAATTGCGAGAGTGTGTAATTCTATGTCCATGCATCATGTCAGATTGATCCTGTGATATTTACTGATATGATCCTGTGATATTTACAGTCCGAGTTTTTTATTTGGAGATATGATATTTATCCGAACAATGACTGTTCTGGAAGGGTCAACTAAACTAGGATCATGTTCTTCTCTGGTTCAGGGGACTAGAATTCACAGATTGTTAGCCAGGACTGATGACTTCTTTAGCCATGCCTGAGTGTTTCTGAATCTATTCTTTTCCATTTATTTTATGGATTGTGTAGAATTTCCATTCGGCTTGTAAAGATGAGCTGGCCTGACTGTATCTTATTGGGTTAGCAATTCCGTTAAAAATGTGATGTCCTTGGGTAATAGTGATAGATGAGTTTTTTTTTGACCTTTCACTTGTATTGCTACTTATGGTGCTAATTACTTGCTTTTCTTGATATGTTTGTAGCACATTGGTGATTTCAATTACCCGCGGCTAGCAGATTTTGGTGCTGCTATATCTGGAGCAAACAAGTTGCATTGCCAGCAAGTGCTTGAAGAACTAGACGTAAGCATTGATGCATTGTTATCCATAAGTTAGAAATAGAATATATATGGTTGACAGAATTCTTATCAGGGCTTTCACTTGTGATTCTTTTCCTGCGAATGATGCATTTATCATATAAATATTCATCATGATGTTGCTGTAGCAATTTTGAGGATACTTTGTTGGTGTTTTTGATTGGCGGAAGTTTCGGCTTTGGAGGCTGAAACCTCCAAACCTTTTGGCTCCGTGGGGGGCATGAGAAGGGGTGGCTTCTATATTTCTCGCCATTAATCGAGTTATCGGTTCCAAAAATGGGGAAGAAATGGAAGCCGCTCCTTCCATCTCCCCATGGAGTCAGAATATTCAAAGGCTTTTTCAGCCAAACAAACACGCAGTGTAACTATTGTCAACCCCAATTGCATGACGCGATTTTTTCATGCTGATGCTTAGACCTTAGATACATGAGCTTTATTACTGTGTTGGTTTCACAATGTCGAGGAACTCCCAAACTTTAGAACGAGGGCTATTTTGATTTCCAATGGTTGTTTAGGGTAAGAGAATAATGCAAATAGGTGGCTTGGCCTAGTGAAAGGCTAGAGTGCCTGATGAGAGACTTTCTTTGGTTGGGGGCATGGAGAACACGTCCATCTAGTACGATGGATACTGGCTGCAAATTCAAGGAAATGGGGGCTTGGGAACTTCCTACTTAAAAGGACATGAATGCTGCCCTATGGGAGAATATTAGTGGCTCTTTGTGACCCAGGAAGAGTACTTATGGAGCCAAGGCATTCAGTGTTGGTATGACCTTGACCTTGACGATTCATTGCTGCTCAAGGATTCTCCCAATGCTAGGCCTTTGGGGGCATGGAAAGGGATCACTTAGATTTTCGGCAAAAACACATGAAACTCCATAAGGCTCTGGAAGGACCACTAGTTGGGAAGGAGTAGTTTGAAAGGTCTTTTTGCTATCTTAAACTTCTAGTGGCCCATCAAGCTTCTACTTTCTCTGATTCATATGAAACCCTGGGGGGCATGCAGTATGGATACTGAGGTTTAGAAGGGACCTCAACAATGGTGAGAGTCCATATTTGGAGGCATTGTTCACCCTCCTCAATTCCCAATTTGCCCCTGCCATGGTGGGGACAAGTTGGAGTCTGAACCAGCTCCATCAGGGTCATTCTATGATGAGTTTTGATCTTAGTTACCCGAATCTCTCATGGAAGGTCGTGATTCCAATTCGGAACCCTGATTCGGCAATTCCAACTAGGACTCTTCACGGAACCCGTTTCCTCCATGTTTAAAATCTTGATTCCCTATTTTAAGAATTTCGATTCCAACATTTATAGGTCGATTCCGCAATTGATGAATCTCGATTCTACATTTGTTGAAACGAGTTTTCACATTTACTGGAATTCTACCACTTCTCCTCTTTCTTTTCTTTTTGCTTTTTTATGAGAAATGCTGTTTAGAAGATTTCAAGGCATCAAACTACTTGAGCTAGACACCTGCTGCAAGGTGTAGTCATCTTTTTTGTCATGAAATGACTAGTAGAAACCATAGTGGTGGTTCTCGTTCTCTACTTATTCTTTAAGTATGCATTGTATTAATCCATTGGAGAGATTGCAACTCCACGATATTAAAAATAATGTAAACATGCATGGCAATTGGAATGTCGGTCAATGAGTGGCATTGAGACATGTATTGTTTCCCTCTCAGTTCCCTTTTGATTCCAAAGATGGCGGAATCTTGATTCCATATATTAAGGAATCTTGATTCCATCGTGATCAATTCTAACTAGGTCGGAATCTCGATTCCAAAAAGCCAGGAATCTCGATTCCATCTATGTAGGGATATCGATTCTATTTTGGTTGGATCTCGATTTCTAAAAATAGGAATCTCATCCCCCACGATTCTTGTTGAACGGACATCGATTCCGAAAACAACAATTTTCCAGTCGTCGATTATTCCGTGCTTTCGATTCCTAAATGGTTTGGTTTCCAAATCGCTTTGGATAACTACGGTTTTGATGAAATGACTTTGCCTCTGGGTTTGCTAGCAGGTTCAGTTCCACATCAGCTCCCCAATAGGTCCATGCATTCTGTTGGTTTGTGATTTGCGAAAAGGCCCTCATGGTGAACAGGATTCAGTGAAGGGGCATGCACCTTACCAGCAGATGTGTAATGTGCAAGGGTAGCAAGTGGTCAATGGACCACTTGTTTTTTTTTGAGAAAAGGTTAGCATTGTATTACTGAGAAGTGATAATTACATAGATGTGAGAGTCCGAGAGCACCCACTTGGAGTGACTCTCGATAAAAAATGCATCAACCTTTCATGTACAAAAAATGGGCTTATAGGATCCGCCCAATTACAAAGATTTACATGAAGCTTTCAAAGAATAAACCAGGGCTGGAAGATGCCCAAATACAAAGTGTCTATATTGTGTGCCTGTGGTCTAGAACAAAAAAGGAGTCAGACCGGGTGTGCTCTTCTATTTGGATCCTAGCCCCCTCTTTCGCCAAAAGATCTGCGAGCTCGTTGGATGTCCTCCAAATATGCTTCAAAGAGACGTCCATATCCCTGCAAATGTGAACAATTTCATCAAAAATTGAGGTTAGGTGCCACGGTGGAGAAGTCGTCCTACTTGCCCAGGAGAGGATGTTTTCTGAATCTCCTTCCACGATCAGGTGTGAGTCCCAAGAAAGGTTGAACCTTTTCAGGCCCAATAATAGGGCCAAGGCTTCTGTGTAGTGCGAATCATTGAGGCCGAGGTGATAAGAATAAGTTAAGAGGATATTACAGTGGTGGTCTCTAAAGACGCCCCCAGCCCCTGTCGGGCCAGGATTCCCAAGAGAACAACCATCAAAATTCAGCTTAATGCTGCCCTCTGGTGGTGATTGCCATTTGTTAGGTCTTGAAGCCTGTCGTGGTTGGTGGTGAAGGATATTTTTCCATTGGCTGAGGAAAACATTCCCTGGTATGCCCGAGAAAACCTTATGATTAGAGGCCCAGAAAGTGGCCAAAGAAGTTACCTTGTGTAATAGTGCTGAACGGTGGAGTTTAAGTGATTGAAAAATTATGGTATTTCTTTCCACCCAGATTATCCATATGGTTGCATCAAGATCGTATGAAATCAAGGCCTTGACAGTAGGGGGGGTGACGCATTGGATACCAAAGAGTTGCAACACTTGGCCCCAAAGTTCGTGGGTAAAGTCACAATGGATGAAAATGTGGGGTTGGATTCCTCCTCATATTGGCACAAAGCACATCTGTCGGGGATCGGGATCCCTCTCTTTTGGAGTTGGTCCACTGTGAGAGCCCTTTGGGAGCAGGCAATCCAATTGAAAGTTTGAACCTTGGGTGGGGCAATGGTGGACCAGACTTTCGACAGTACCAAAGTGGGATTACCCAGTAAAGTGGGAGGCTGAGTCAGGCTTTTATAAAAGTAAGCTACCGTGAAGATACCTGAGGGGGCTAGAGTCCAGACTGCAGCATCTCTTCCACTTGTTGGAATGAATAGTGAGTGTAAAGCTGTCGAGAGCAATTGAAAGTGGTTGGTTTCCCCTTCTGTTAGGTTTCTTCGGAAAGAAGAATTCCATACTCTTCAGCCTCCTGACAATACCATTTCCTCAGCAATAGTAGAGTCTTTGTTTGAGGCGAGTATATAGAGGGTAGGAAATACTTCACGCAGTGGGGAGGGTCCTAGCCATAAATCTGACCAGAAACTCACTCTAGAACCACTTGCTCGACCACTTGTTCGTTTATGGTACTGAGGCCTGGCAGATTTGGTCCTTCCTTCTCAACCTACTGAGTGGTGTTGGTTATACCTACATCTATCCAGTACCGAGCAACTGTTTCTGTCTTATTTGTCCATTCCCTTATCGACTCTGGGCTGGCTTCCATTGCAAACTTCATTTTTGCCTTGATGTGGATTATCTTGCTAGTAATATATAGCTTTTTGAAAGCTATATATTACTTTCAAATGAATAGGGTCAGATCTGTGATCAAAGATTGGGCGAGACTCCGTAAGGAAATCCATGCCTACTCTACAACAGACCTTTTACTAAATTGAATAGACATTGCTTGGTTCACTTCAATGTTTTATCACAAGATCCACCCAACTGTTAATACTGGAACCAAGCACCATCAAACTCAATTTTGATGGTTGCTCGCTTGGTAACTCTAGATGGGGACCCCAGCCATAGAGGGGCGGATTTCTTCTGTTTTTTTTTTCTTAATTTTTCTTGTTTTACAAAACCATACGCACTCTCTACAAAATTTTGGTCAGTCAATTGTGTATGCGTGCTTATATCTATTATAATATAATAAGTCGCTTTTTCTCTGTAAAGCTGAATATATTGGATATGGAGTTGATGAGATGCCGAGCACATCTGGGATTGCCCTTCTGTTGGAAAGCCACGTAGGCGATGGAGTGCTAGGAAGGTTCAACAGGAGCTACATGTGTTTTGGATCTCCCCCCCTTCCCCCCCTGTGCTTGGCTTTTTGTTGTTTTTTTTTTTTTGGGGTTGTGTGTGTGTGTGGAGGATCGAGGATGGAATAAGAAAATAAGGTGGCATTTGATAACTTTGAATGCAGTTTCCTTGGGAAAATCTCTACTGTTGACTTTCCTGGATTCTGGGAGGCAGGTGAAAATTGGTAGCGTGAAAAGCTGGGAGCCCTGTTTGATAAACTTTGGTGTTGGAAATTTCACCTGTTTGGCATTGGGAAAGATGGAATTGGAAACTGCCTGTTTAATTGTTCAAAACAAGAACACAAACATCAGAAAATATAGAACAAAAAATCCCCAAAATTGGAAAACAGGGTCAGTTCCAGATTAACAGAGAAAAAAGAAAACTGAATCAGAAAAAAGAAAAGATCACCTTTTTAGATTTGGGGTTTATCAGAAGGTGGTTGTTTTTAAGGAAAAAAAAAAGAGGTACACGTCCATCAATGGTGATAATATGATAGTTATAAAAAAAAGGAATAGTGAAAAAAGGAAAAGCTCACTGATAAATGGACCCCTTCATTGAGAATAACCATAAAAAAGAAAAGGAATACAAATTAACAGAAAATGAAAAAAACAAAAACTCAAATTTCGAGTTTATCTGCTTAATAAACAATGAAAAGGTGAAAACTTACTCATTTTTGAAGATTATCTTTTTCGTGATGCTCTTCGGCACCAGTAGAGCTCTTTGATGAGGGTGATGGAGCGAGCGGTCGTGAGGAGCAAGTGGGCTTTTTTTCCCCTTCAAGCCAAAAGGTTAGGCTTTAGAAGGGGCATCCATGCATTTTAGTGTGGGGGGGAATAGAGGAGTTCCGACTTTCACTCGTTTCACTGTTGTCAAATGGGTGATATCTACAGTGCCAGTGAAACTGCGGTAGTAGTTTCCTAGGTTTGATCGGTTATCAAACACCACCTAAAAATCACTTGGTCAGTTGGGAAATTTTTTTTTTTTTTGATACTGTTTAACTGTGGGGAAAAACTTTATAGAACAAGTTTATAGAACAAGGTTTACTTGGGGTCTAGGATAAGGAGAACTAGAGAAACAAACTAATCTCTCCTGTCTAGCTTTGGTGGAGACTAGGGTGAAGGGTAAACATCTCGGGAAGTATGTTTTTATTATATGCAATGGATGAAACAGGGTGGTTGATCACATATACGAAATTTTCATGGATATGAAATGGAGTCAAGAGTTGTAGAGCCCAATTTATTAGCAATATTAGATTCAAGAGAGGAGGTGGGAATTTGGTTAGACAAAGGGTGGGAGTTATTGCACTTGGATAAAAGGGACCAAAGTTGTCTGCTATAGCTAGTAATCTCAAAATAAGAGTGGCAGAAGTCATTGTTGCGAAAGAGCCAAAGATGCAAGGCAATATGGACCACAGACCTAAGAAGAATTTGGAAGAAATGAGTTCCAGGCATTGGCCATCCTATTACAAACATTAGAATGAGTCTTCATCCAGCAAGGAGTGGAATATAAGCTAATTTGGCCCCTACAACTTAGACATGGGATGGAAGGACTAATTAAGAAATTGTTAGATTATGGGCTATATATGTCAGGACCATCAAAATTTCATGTTTTAGCTTGGCAGTGACCTTGGATAACCACAGGTCTCCTGATAAACAGAGGTATGTTTTATTTCAAATATATGTCTGACGTGCAAAATGGATGCTGAAAATTTTAATCACTTGTTCTTGACTCCTTTTTCTTCTTGACTCCCCTATAGGTAGATAGTTATGGCCTCATGTATTCAAGTTATTTGATTTCACAAAGGTCCTCTCTGCTTCACAAATGTTAATCACTTGTTCTTGAAGTCTTGTTCCCTTCCCAGATATTCTGCATCCTTTGTTTCCTCACATGCAAACCAATCTGGAGTGATGTGGAGCAGTGACTGCTGTTATTCTTTTTAATTTCTTACTTTGAATTTTTCTTACTTCGATATTTAATATATATACCGTGTTTTAGATCAATTTATCTTTCAAAATTTGTATGTTCTTCTGTTCAGTAGTTTTTTTGAGTTAGTTGCTCTGTATAATTAGTGTGTTGTAATTGTGATGATTAAATGCTTGATACAAACTAGGTTTACAAACGCTTGAAGCTAACTTTGGAGCTTGTAAAAAAAGAGATGGAAATCAGCAAAATTCAGGTTCTTCTTCTAACACGTGAATTTGTGGCTGTTGTGAAATGCTGAAGAGACTCACTTGTTAATTGAATGTATTTTTTGTTGCTTTTGCCAGGAATCTATAGCGAAAGCAATTGAAGAAAAAATAAGTGGTGAGCAGCGGCGTTATCTTCTAAATGAGCAGCTCAAAGCAATAAAGAAGGTACTTTTGTTCATCTGTGTCTAGTTTTCCATCGCATTTGGTTGTAATAAACTCTATTATTTGTTAATAATCTGTCTTTTTTCCCTAAACTCTATTATTTGTTAAAAATCTTTGTCTTTTTTCTTTAAGTTTCTAAAAATATGAGGAAGTTGAACCACTTTGACATTTAGGAGATCACTAAAAGATGTTTTGCGTTGTTTAGTAGCAGGTGGTTCATGTGTATAATGTACACTTTGCAGGAATATAACTTCATCTGTCTTGATCCAGGAGCTGGGTTTGGAGACAGATGATAAAACGGCACTCTCTGGTTAGTAAGGGAATGCAGAATAACTCTCGGTTTGTTTGCAAAACGACGTATGCTGTGATTCATTGTCTTTTCTTTTTCTTTGGTAGCAAAATTCCGGGAAAGGCTTGAACCAAAAAAGGACAAGTGCCCAGCTCATGTTTTACAAGTTATTGAAGAGGAACTCACCAAGTTGCAGCTTTTGGAAGCGAGTTCCAGCGAGTTCAATGTCACTCGTAATTATCTTGACTGGCTCACTGCATTGCCTTGGGGAAACTACAGGTGTTATGCCATAATTATATAATCAAAATTCTTGATTTCTTCTTCTTTTTACCCTGGTATATGAAATATGGTTTAAACAATTATTTTGTGCTATGAGCTATCTTTATTATCATGGTTTGCTCACATACCACCGCTTCTGTGGAGACTGTTGTGGTTATAATCGGGAATATATGTGAGGTCCAGATTATTTTTAGTTTGTTATTCTTTTTAATGTTTATGTAATTCAAGATTGAATAGTGACAAAAATGTGCTTATTTTTTGAGCTTATGGTGAAAACTTAGCACTTTAGTGGAAACAAAATAATTTAGAAAATCTGAAAAGGGATAGTTATTTGGATTCAACTGGCTTACTATATCTTGCAGAAGCTGGGAGTAAGAGTGTACCTTTGTGATACTCAGAAAGTGTCTTCAATGATTGTCATGGTTTATACATTATCATAATCATCATTCGAGCTTTATCCCAACTTTTTAGTCTCCAGAAAACAAATCTTATTATGCTATTCTACTCTATTAAGGCCATACCATCAGTCATACTATAAGTAACCATATCTCTTCTAACTACTTCCAATCCATATACTTTGGGCATTCGTCTTGCCCTTTTAGAGCCTTCCACTTGAACCAAATCGTCCGTTTTAGATCAGCGCTGCACATGGCCAACCTACCTAAGTCTACTTTCCCTCATCTTATCGCCTATTGGAGTTACCCCTAAGTTCAATCATATGTATTCGTTTTGAATTCTATCCTTTCTTGTCTTGCCACCCATCCATCTCAACATCTTTATATCAACATCCTTATATCAGTTGCACTTATTCTATGGATATATTGTTTATTGACGAGCCAACATTCTGTCCCATAAAGTTTGACTGGTCTGACCGTTATCCTATGCAACTTCCCCTTTAGTTTATTTGGTATGCAACAATCACATAATGCACATAATGTGGGAAATACAAATATGGGAAGCCTAAAGGCCACGTCCCGAACAACTCATGCCTACATTGCTAATAGGTAATTTCTAAACATCAATCTTGGGTGGCACTCATTATGCTGCTGATCCGAGCGTTATTACTTGATATGCTTCCACCCAATTCCTTCAGAACACACCCTAGACTTCCCTTCCATCTTGTTTTCCTTTCTAAGGGGTTTCTTTTGGTACTTAATAGTCCCCTCAAATATTTATGTCGTCTTTGCAAACCATGAGTTTCTAACTAACCTTATTCTGTTGAGATTCTTATTGAGATTAATGGGTTAAAAAAATTGAATATGTTGTGTATTTATTTTTTAATAAATAGAAGACAACCTTTAGGCTTGTGTAAGAGATCTTGCATTTACTGCCTCAATTGTGTCACAATCACCACCGGGCACTTCAAATGTCTCAAAACTCCTGCCTGGGCTATCTCAAACTATGCAATCATTTATCTACACAGCCTTTTGTCGTATGGAGTTTCTGCAAAAGGTAAGATGTAAAGAAGCAATCCAGTGATAAAGTTCATGAGATTCTAACTCCAATTCGAGAGGTGGAACTTCTGGATACCATTTCCTATACATGAATCTGGTCCCCAAGAATAAAGACAATTACCTTTTATGGCTCAGGGTGCTTTTGATTATAAAGCTGTGCTATGTTCCTTAAATCCACGTAGTTCAAAGACACCCTAGAAGGTCCTTTTTCTTTTCTTTTGGTATGTCATAGAAGATAACCAAGAATGCGACACTCCACCGATTTGGCATAGCTTGGGATGCCTCAAAAAAGTTCTGGATGAAGGATTCACAGAAAAGCCTTCTATATGGTCTTGCTTCTACAATCTCTTGCCACTCATCTATCTGGAATAAAATTTTCTTCAAGGTACACCAACTAATGGCTTGACTTGTATATTTCTGTTGTTGCTTATGATTTCCTTGAGCAACATTCTCCTCTCTAATGCAATCACTAATGACCACTTTGCGGGTTGAGACCAAGTGGAATAGACATTAGACAGGGAATTTTATGGCCTCCTCTACAGAAAAGGTCTGACAAAATGCCAACTCTACTTTTGTCAAGAAGCCAACTCTACTCTCGTCCCCAAGAAAAATAATATTATATCCAGTTTAATGTGTATTATGATGCTAAACACTGATTGAGATAAATGGTTTCATCCCCTGCTGAGATATTATTTTGATTGGTTTTGCTGCAGTGATGAGAACTTTGATGTTCATCGTGCTCAAAAGATATTAGATGAAGATCACTATGGTCTTTCAGATGTTAAAGAGAGGATATTGGAATTCATAGCTGTTGGAAAACTCAGGGGTATCGCGCAAGGTTAGTAATGTAAATTTCTCTAGAATCTATAAATTTCTCTAGAATCTTCACCTTTTGTCTCACATTAAAGCATAATGCACTTTCAGTTGATTGGCCTGATTATATTATGCAATAGTTGATCCTTTAATTCATATCCATTACAAGATGTATCTACTTGCTTCATGTGTTGTATGCTTGTCTGTTTATGCACCCTTTTTCATAGTGTTAGCTTTTAAGAAGCTCTAATCTGGTTATTCTAGTTCCTTTTGTTCCTTTTTTTCTTTTCTTTTATTAATGATGATGCTAGATGAAGAGGAAATCAAGCATGATTCATGTGCTTCAACTGCTTTGATTTAAATGACGCGCTCTAAAGCTTATGTCTTTCTGAAGGAAAAAGTTTGTCCATAAACCTTGATTGGTACCTTGCAATTTATTGTGAAACTGTGCAATGCGCCTTGTTTTGGCTTCGAGGAAATGTAAATCATATTAACATTTTCTTATGAAGAAGCCAATTATCTCATGACCTATTATTTTGTTGCTGTCACTTACTCTGAATTACCTTGTGTTTATTTTCTCCTCATTCTTTGAGAGATAGCGCAGGGCAAACAATATAATTTATTGGCTTTTGATACCATGTGTAGGCAAAATTATTTGTCTTTCGGGCCCTCCTGGAGTGGGGAAAACCAGCATTGGTCGTTCTATTGCCCGTGCTCTTAACAGGAAGTTTTATAGGTTCTCTGTGGGAGGTTTGGCTGATGTGGCTGAAATCAAGGTACAGTAAACTGAACAAATTTTATGTTGACTTGTATGTGGTCACCACATTGCCAATCTATAAGATAGCTGCATTCTGGAAATAAGCTATCTTTTTATATGGGCTAATGCTATTGACTACAGCACATGTAAAATATATATAATTTGGAGCTATTTATCCAGGGTCATCGCCGTACTTATGTTGGTGCTATGCCTGGAAAGATGGTTCAATGCCTAAAAAATGTGGGAACAGCAAACCCTCTTGTTCTTATTGATGAGATTGACAAGGTAACCGATCTGATAATCACATCCCTGCCTGGTGGTCTGTTTTTACCCTCTCAAAATGCGCCCCTTTCCACGAGTGTTACTCCTTTTTTTTCTGTCAATAAATTGTTTCTTGAAGTCATACAACTATTTGACCGTACCATCTCTTTGATTCTGCTCTTCATTACAGCTAGGTAGGGGCCATGCCGGTGATCCAGCAAGTGCTTTGTTGGAGCTTCTAGACCCAGAACAGAATGCAAACTTTCTTGATCACTATCTTGATGTTCCTATTGATTTATCTAAGGTAAGTGTTGGTTCTACTGCAACTTCTTGGAATTTCAACCATGCAGTATATTCTCCCATACAACTGTTAGATCTCAGAATAAGGTGCTGTTAAGAAACCCATGCATTTTTTTTTTATATTTATTAGTCTGATATTTAATTGAAACCCCATATGTTTCCTATATCTCTATGGCTCTCCTTTTATGTAGTTGTGCCTTTTACAATTTTTTTTTTTGGGGGGGGTGGGGTGTTGTAAGTCAACGGTAAGAATCATTGCGTATTTTATGTGTTTTTTGAGTAGGCACTCTTACATGTCATTCTGAAATGACCATTAATGACAATATATGAAACGGTTCTATTGCAATATGCATTTATTTGTTTAATTCTGGTGTCCTATCATCTCTATCTAAATCCTCATGAATCATACTTAAATATATTGGAGTAGGCTTCTCATCTAGGAAAGGCCTCTTATGTTAGTAGATGAAGTCATGGCCATCTCAAGGTGTCAGCTGGAAAATTATTTATGTACCTACCTTGAACTATTCCATTTTGTCTATCCTCTCCATAAAACTTTCTTCTATGTTACAGGTTCTATTTGTTTGCACAGCAAACGTAGTGGAAATGATTCCTAATCCTCTTCTTGATCGAATGGAGATAATTGCAATTGCTGGTTATATTACTGATGAAAAGATGCATATAGCTCGGGATTTTTTGGAGAAGACAACCCGTGAAGCTTGTGGTATCAAGCCAGAGCAGGTATTAGGTGCATATTTTGGATTTGTTTTCTTATTTCCAAATGTATGATTTTCCTTTATTTTCTTCTTTTTCTTAGGTATTTAATATATTTATTATAAAAAAATTTCTCGTGCCATTATGATGCAGGTTGAGGTTACTTATGCAGCTCTTCTTGCTTTGGTGGAGAGTTACTGCCGAGAAGCAGGCGTCCGTAACCTCCAAAAGCACATAGAAAAAATATACCGCAAGGTTTGTATTTTTCACCAATACTCTAAGCTATAGCCAATCATTTTCTCTAATTTTATGGCATTTAGAGCATGTAAGATCTTCAAAAAATGGAGTTGATATTAGAAAGTGAACAGAACAATAATACTTCCTTCAATGACCAGACAATGGTTTTTTTCACCTAATCCACATCTGGATCATTTGTTCTGGTGGCGAATTCACTCATCTTGATGCCCCCCATCTAGTTTGAGCCTGAGGTGTGCTATTATGTTGCGTGATTGTGGGTAGGACTAGAAACTACATGTGTAAAGGTATTTAGTCTTTATGTGTCATGGTCATTTTAGTTTTTGTCTCTCATGCTTGAGTTGTATGCTAGCCACTTTGGCTTCACTTCATGATTTAATGTAATGCATCTTTGTCTGGCATGTAGACTAGTGTTACCATGTTAGCGAGCTATGTTATGGACTACATAACTCATAATGTCCTGTTTTGTCATTTATTTTGCAATTCATGGCAAGCCCCAATCAAATCAAGAGGGGATGCTACACTGTCAACATTATGAAAAGAAAGGGATAGTAACTTAGCAGTTTATCATACAATAACTTTATCCTTGTATAGAGACGAGACAGGTGCTTCTTAAAACAAACACTTGGATGATACGGAGTTCTTAGCAGAAACTGCTGTTAATGGCAATCCATAACTTGTTTTTTATTTATGTTAATCATCCATAACTCGTTGAAATGCTCATTAGATGACTGCTGATTTATTTGAACTTCTCATTCCTTAACCAATATTTCTGAATCTTTTGCGCATCGGATTGTAACAGATTGCTCTGCAATTGGTTCGGCGGGACTCGCCAAGGGAACTATCTATCGAGGCGACTCTTCGGAGAGTTGACTCTAGTGAATCTTTAGAGACATCTTCTCAAGAGTCATCTGAAGCATTAACTGAAGGAGCAACCTGCAGTGATTCTGAACGAACTGAGGTTAGTGAGACATCTGAATCAACTAACTTGAATTCCGCAGAGTCATCTCCTGACCAAAATCCATGTGCAACTGAGGAAAGTGTTGGTTCAAAGGTATCATCTCTGTTCCCTGAGTGGCCATCTAATGTAGGGACCAAAGTACTCTTCTTTTGTAGTGATTTTGATTGGCCTTTTATGAAGTACTGTTGCTGTGAATTTGTCAAGGTTCCATAAAAGTTGAGAAAAAGGAAAATATGAAGAAAACGTTTTAAAAAAAAGGAGCAAAATGAAAAATCCAAAGTAGTAGAATGTGAAAGCCATAAAGAATTAAAAGAGAGATGGGACTACCAAGAAACCCACAAGGGAGAGGGTAGGAGAGAATGTCAGGGTGAGAAAGCAAAAGCTGAGGGAGAGATGGAGATGAGAATTAGTGTCGTAGTTTTCTACGGTTTATACATCAAATCTTCCCCTGTTACAATAAAAATGAGGATCATTCTGCCATATAACCCACATTTCCCGATCAGTAAGCCCTTGAAGCAATTATCACTCATTAGTATAATTTTGTCTTTGTTTGACAGGAAAAAGAAGAAAATATTATCAAAGAAGTGGTGGAGAAGCCAGTAGAAAAAGTTGTGGTAGATGTCTCTAATCTCTCTGACTTTGTTGGCAAACCAGTCTTCCATGCTGAGCGCATATATGAGCATACACCAGTGGGAGTTGTGATGGGACTTGCATGGACGGCAATGGGTGGCTCTACACTTTACATTGAGACCACGGTTGTGGAGCAAGGAGAAGGAAAAGGTGCTCTTAATCTAACTGGGCAGCTTGGTGATGTCATGAAGGAGAGTGCCCAAATAGCCCACACTGTTGCTAGAGCAATATTTCTCGAGAAAGAACCTGGGAACCAATTTTTCGCAAACACGAAGCTTCATCTCCATGTGCCAGCTGGTGCTACCCCTAAGGATGGGCCAAGTGCAGGGTGCACCATGATTACATCTTTGCTCTCTTTGGCCATGAAGAAGCCTGTGAAGAGGGACATTGCCATGACAGGAGAAGTTACCTTGACTGGACGAATTCTTCCTATTGGAGGGGTATGTCATCTTTGTCATGGCGGCATAGTTTATTTGCTTTATTAAAACTAGGTTTTTTTTTAACGATATTCCTTTTTTGTGCATATTTATTTTCAGTTTCTTTGATTTATTATGGAGCTTTATGGTCTTCTATAGTTTACTAATGATTGTCTGGGCTAGCCATGAAAAATACACATTCAAGTGGAGCTCACCTTAGAGCTATTGGCTATCGAAAACCAGTTAGTGTAATGCTTACCTTTTAGGAGGAGATCATGAAAAAGAAGAAGAATTTCCCTTTGTCATACCTCTTGTGGGAGACGCATTGTTGAGGGGTGGTCCTGTGGTGGTGTTCTTGTTTTCTTTTTTAAAAATATTTTTCTTGTTTATATTGGAGTTAGGCTGGAGATGCGATCTCTAAATTTCACTTCAATGGAGGTTGCGGGGCAGCTAGAATCTCTGACCACCATCTCTCTCTCTCCCTTCATAGTACGGAGGATAAAATTATTGTTTCTCTTCTGTCTCAGTGTGTTTAACTCATGCTCTTTTAGGCAATGAGTTACCCTTGATATCTACTTGGGATGCAAGTTGTGACATTTTATGAATGGCATCTGATATTGGTGCTGTTTTGATGTTTCATAACCTGTGTTCTGCTGTTCATCTTAATCTTTTGATTTTCAAAGTTTGTCATACATTTTTGTTGGATCCCTGTTTACCCAAAAAGAAAGGCAAGATTGAAACAAGAAATACTTCTTATTACAGGTCAAGGAGAAGACAATTGCAGCTAGGAGAAGCGAGGTGAAGACCATTATATTCCCCTCCGCAAACAAGAGGGATTTCGATGAGCTTGCACCCAATGTTAAAGAAGGCCTTGAAGTTCACTTTGTGGATGATTACAGCCAAATATTCGGCATTACATTCTCGGACAACCAAGAGGATGAAAATAAAGAACAATAGTCCCAATAAAATGCCATTGTTCCATTTGAGGACTCATATTCATGTTTGGTAATTCCTGAAAAAAGCTATTGCTGCCGACCTGCTGATACAAAATGTATGAGCAGCTTCAATTTTGCTAGGGCAAATTATTTATTGTATCTCAAGCTGCCCATAGGTTTCTCATTTTTTATTTTTCACATGGGTGACAAAGAACTCTCATAATATACTGCTTTGAGTTTTTTACTTAAATTATGGTCAATTTTTTTGTTTTCTTTCATTATGTATGACTCCTACCAGGCTTCATGGATGCATGCATCAGACTGCAATTTCCATTGTATGAATAAAATGAGGAAATATTTGATCATGTCAAGGAAAGTATGTTAGATTTATGTTGTGTGAGGCTGTTTTTTCATTCTGCTCCAATTTGAAGACAACGGCAATGCAATGCCCAATTCTGGCTACGATGCTTAATTCTGGCTACATTTTGTCCATCTCGTAGTGATTGAAGGTGGACCAGAACTCCATACAATTCTCTCTCAAATGGGTTTTGGCGGATGAGAGATTTGAAGTGGGGTTGAGAGGAAGGGGAGGGGAGGGGTTGGGTGGGGGTTGATTTTCGACTGAATTCATATATATATATATATATATATCTTTGGGGTGGGAGGGGGTTGGGGTGAAGAGAGGGAGAGGGATTGGTGCTAATCATGGACTCCATGAGAGAGAGAGAGAGAGAGAGAGAGAGAGAGAGTAGTGGTGTACTTAAGTTTAGACGTACGAACGGGAGTAGTAGGGGTTTGGGT